TTTTAAATTTTTTTTTATCCTAAATCATGTAATCTGGCCATCCAATCAAAATAAAAATAGTTAAAAATTGATCAATATTAGAATTCGGCGGTACTTCGAAAATTAGATCACTTCAATAGTCATATGTGACCGATTCTATGTGAAAACAATTTTAGACTCGGAGCAAAATAGTCGGAGGGCCAGTTCATGGTTAAATCAATAAGATCAACTAATTTATAGTAACACATATTAATAGAATTATCATCTGACAGGAAGCACACATACACACACACACCCATACAGCACAAGCACACATATATAATATATTCATTACATCTTCCTATTAGATTTAGGAAAGCCTCCTATTTAAAACATGATTCAATCAATTACAATAAAATACGTTATTATCTTACAATTATGGGATATGAATGTCAGATTACCAATTTTTTTTTAATTCATTTATTATGAAAGGAAAGCCTGCCTTTTTTATTGCAGAATTACATAGAAGAATTAATATAAAGAATGCTTCTTTGAAGAAATAATTTTTATTGGAGATTTAAATGGATATGCTGGTAGAATAGTAGAAGATTTTAGAAGTATTCATGGTGGCTATGATTTTGGAGTGACTAATGAAAAATAGTCATATTGGATTTTACTTTAGCCAATGATTTTGTTTTTTAATATTTTATTTAAGAAAAAAAGATGAACATATTATCACTTATAAGACAATTTTAAGAAAACACAAATTGATTATTTTTTGTGAGACAAATTGATTATCGAGATGTAAAGATTGTAAGATCATTATAAGTGAAGATCAAACTACACAATATTAATTATCTGTTTTGAATTTTAAGATGAAATATTAAAAGATGAAAAATACATTGAAATATTATCGTAGAATTATATGGGCAATTTAAAATAAAAAAAAAAACTTTTTATGAGTAAATTTCAAGATCTTAAAATTTGGGAGACTAATGAAGAAGTTGATACTATGTGAGATAAAATAATGAGTATTATTAAGTAGGTTGCAAAATCAAAATTAAAAGCTCTTATGAATAAAAATAATTGATGGGAAAAAATATTGTGCAAGAAAATATATAAAATTAAAAAAGTTATCAAATTTGATTTGAATGTAAAAATTTGAAGAATTAGGAAAAATATAAGGTAGCCCGTATGAAGTCTAAGAGAATAATTTATGATGCTAAGAATTTTGTTTTTAATGATCTTTATAATAAATTAGATACTAAAGAGGGTAAAATATATATATCTATAAATTAACCAAACAAAGAGATGAGAAAAATAAAGATTTAGTTCAAGTAAAGTATACTAAAGATGAAAAAAAAATATTTTTTTCTTAGGTGATGATATTCCATATAGGCGGGTTAGATATTTTGATAATATTTTTAATTAAAATTATAAAAATATGATCGATTTTAATGATCTTACTATCATAAATAATAATTTTTTTTATTTTCACTGTTACATTAGTAAAACAGAAGTTGATGAGACTTTAAAGAAAATAAAATGTGTAAAATTAGGATTTGATGGTAATTATAATAAAAGTGTGAAAATGTTGAGGAGATTTGATAATTTCTTGGCTCACTAAATTTTTAATATAATTTTAACAACTAAAACATTTATTTGATGATTGAAAGAATAGTCTATTGGTTTCTATTGCAAAAAATAAAGGGGAAGCACAAGAGTGTGCAAATTATAAAGGAATCAAGTTAATGTGTCATCACTAAAGTTATGGGAGAGAGCAACTGAACATAGGTTATAAAGTGATAAAAAAAATTTCTCAAAATTAGTTTGGATTCATGCTGGACAAGTCTATTATAGAAGCTATATATTTATAGAGAGGTTTGATAGAGAAGTACGGAGGGAATAAGAAGAATCTACATATGACTTTTGTTGATTCTGAAAAATTCTATGAATAAATTCCACAAGTACTTTGGAAAGTTCTAGAAAAGAAAGGTATTGCTATTACTTATATTCAAGTCATTGAAGATATGTGTATTAGAGCCGCTACTTGTGTTTGAACAAAGGAAGGTTTGAGCAAGTATATTCCAAGTATATTCAGGAAGGATATGTGTATCAGAGATCCACTTTAAGCCCATATATTTTTGCTTTAACTCTGGATGTTTTTGCTATATATTGTTAGGAGGATGTGTCTTGGTTTATGCTTTTCGCTGATAATATCTTGTGGATAAGACTATCGAGAAAGTTCTTGAAAAACTTGAATAATGGAGGTAAATTTTAGAGTCTAAAGGCTTTTGTTTGAATAGATCTAAAACTAAATACATGGGATGTAGTTTTAATAATAGTAGATCTAGTGGCGGGATTGTAACAAGCTTGGTCAAGTCATTAAAAGGAGTGAATGTTTTAGATATCTCGGGTCTATTGTTCATAGTGATTATGATATAGATTTGAAAGTTATTGGTAGAATTCAAGTGTGATGGTTGAAGTGGAGGAATGCATTGGGCTGCTGGAACTACTCCAAAACCTATTGTGTCTAAGTGTCAAGTCAATCATCTTCCCCATCATAACTTACAATTTAAATTGGTGACATTTTTAACTGAAATTTCTTGACTTATTTCTTTGAGCTTTTCGTAAGAGGGCCCTACATGTGTGATTGGAAAATAACAAAAAGAAAAAAAAAACCTATTGAAAATTCAAATAAGGCTGTATATAGTTATGGGTGAAGGCAAAGCATGCTAATGAAAGCGATACATACATACATACATATAGATACATACATATAGATACATAGATATAGATACATACATATACATACATATATATATACATACATATATATATACATACATATATATATACATACATATATATAATATATATATATGTATGTATATATATATGTATGTATATGTATGTATCTATATCTATGTATCTATATGTATATATATATATATAAGGTTTCTTTTTTTCCCGGATATGACATTCGTCTTTTTCATTTTTAGTATTTTAATCGTCTTATTAATGAATATTTTTTTTTCTTTGAATGATGAATTTGGTATGAAGTATTTTAGTTGTGCAATGTGACTGCAATCGATTGGTTTTGCATTTGAAGGCTTGAGGATGAATATGTGACTATGTTATCAAATGAAAGTTAGTGTTCTGTCCCCAAAAAAAGGAAATCAAAAGGTAAAAAGATAAGTAACAAGCACATCACGTCGGACCATTCCTTTAGTTTTATACTCTAATTTGTTTTATTAAATTTTATTATTGTAGTGCAGGTTGTCTTTCATGAAGAATTGTTTTTTACATTTGAAGGTTTAAATGCACTAGTTAGTTGGATGAACAAATTATGAAAATAAATGATTAGTGAGAATGTGAAGGTACTGAAGCTCCTACTTTTCTGTGTCAATTTTTTTCTCAAACGTGAAACATGATTGGGCTGGAGCCTTTATTTGACTCCCCAAAAGTTTAGCATGCAGTTTTTGTGGAATGAGGGGGATCCATGCTTGGCCAGAAAGTGGCATTGGGTGGCATAGGAAAAAGGAAAGAGGAAGTGAGGCTTGGGTTGGTTGATGGGCATTGTGAGGGGATTCCTGCTCAATTTTTCATTGTGAGCTTAATGACGTATTTTTCAAATGAAGCAAAAAAGTGAGTTCTCTAAATATGATATCAACTATAAGCTCCATAATTAGTAAAAATGACCTCATATGTGGGCCACATCGGATATGTAAAGTCTGTATGAAAATGAGCTCCTCATGAGAAATGCTGTTTGGATCGAATTTGGCCAAGCTGAATGCCTCAGTCTTTTTTTATTTGTTTTTATTTCAACGGCACATCTATTTTTAGCTATTTGGTTTGGTTGAGTTTAGCCTTGCAAGCATTTTTGTTCAATCATAAATGTTTCTTTTATTCTGTAAATAGAACAATGAATTATTTTTTGAGTAGTGACAAATTAGTCCTCTGACTATTTACACGAAGCCATTTTAGTCCTAGAACTTAAACAAAATATTATTTCTTACTACATTCTTAAAAGTCAGTACAATATTTCTTACTCTACTTTGTTGATTTTATTGTTTATGATTTGCATCATAAATGAAAAATATCTCAATGTCCAATTGTGCAAATTTAAACCTTACATCCCTTTTAAAATACAGTTACATTTGCTTATGTGAAGAGTCAAGAAGTTGCATCTCCTTAGCGGGTGAACAATCAAGGAATTTGATTGCAGTCTATGTGACACTAGCAGTTGAATTGAACTTTTGTCATTGTAGACTTTTTTTAAAAATTTCAATGAGTCTTTTTTTGGGTCATTAGGAAATGTCCGACTTAAACTTGGTAAAGAAGTGTTATCCCACTATCACAACTGTAGGAATGGATTTTTCTCAGTTGGTTGCCATATTGCCGTAATTGGTCAGGCCGACTGCAAGTAATGGCTTCTCTATAGGTTTGTTAATGTTGGGGCAAGTTAAGTCAGATAGAGTTAACTTTCTGACACTTCCAAACTCAGATAACAAGTCAATCTGAGTTTGGCCCCGTTGGATTTATTTGAGCCAAAAATGTTCTTCACTTGTCAGCCATTAGCCATATGAAAATTTCTACACTACATGGCGTCGGGAGAAATTTCCACTCAAAGCAAGTAATGTGACCGGATGGATCCGACTTTCCCTAATCAGATTCTAAATCTATTATCTTGAGTCTAGAGGGAAGCATCTCTTCAACCATCTCCAAAGGTTGGTGTTAGTTTGTTGAGAAACTAAACCTACTTAATTAAAAATTCTTTTCTGTAATTTTTGAAATGTTTACAGCAAGTAGAAAGTTCTACGGGTTTTGTTTTCTAAAATGCTTCTTAGGTAACTAGCAAATGCATTTCTGAAGTTTATGGCAAACAATTATTATTCTTTTAAAATTTTAAAATTAGAGACATAATTTTGATAGTTATATATTTGTTTTCTGATATGAAAACTGCTTTCTAATGATATTACTATAAAATATCTATAAGAATTTGTGGATGGAAAAGGATAATCATTTAAAAATGTCTTTAGCAGGCAATCATAATGCCAACCCTATGCTTCTTGAAGATATCAGGGAACAAGGCCTCAAATTTGCAGGTAACTGTTGTCTTTAGCAGGCGATCATAATTTCAACCCTATGCTTCATTTCCTTTTGTCACTTTACTTTCTTTCGCATAACAAAAGTTTGACTGTCCTAAAGTAGTTACTGGAAGAGCAGTATACATAAAAATGTAGGAAGATTTACATACAAAATGACTTGATTTTAATAAACTTTAATTTTTACGTACATGTTACCCTAGATATGCATGTATTTTATTTTATGTGATGTGAAAGCTTTTGGTGGTATAAATATAAAATGCAAAATTTAGTGGTTATATATCTAAATACATAGGAATATGATGATATGTATGTAAATGTCCATAAAATGTTTGTTTATTGAGCTTTTGACCATCGGAACTTGAAATGAATTGAACAGAGGATGGCGATGAATGCTTTTTAATACAATATTTGTGGCCTTGAAAATGTTCAGGTTACTGCAGGCGTGGTTATTGTGGCTGTGGGCATCAGCTGCGCAATTCTGGGAACTTATATTTCAATATCTAAGATTGTGAATAGCTATTGACGCAGAAGTTCCGAGGCGCATCTCCCCAGAATTACATAAAAGCTATCGCAAATATTGTCTTTTTATATGTTTAAAGCCTGCAAATATCTTCATGTGCTTTTTCACTATTTAGGTAAAGCCAACATAAAACCATGGACTAGCTCTCATCTCTGGAGTTATTAATTCGAAGTTCTGCTTTTCTTCATTTTTTTTTCATTTTTGTTGAGTTAGCATTTTGAGAAATGTTCACAAGCATAAACAACAACAACAACAACAATAAGCCTTTCTCAATAAGTGGGGTTGGTTGGTTACATGAATCTTTTTTCTCCATTGAGTTCTTTTGAGTGTCATATTTTCACATTAAGATTATTTTTTATACAATATGCCCATCTTTTTAGGTCTAGCTCAACCTTTCTTAACTTAAGTCGACTCTACAACATGTACTCTCATAGCACAATCATGTGACCAAACCATCTAAGAACACTTTCTAATCATGAGCGTCGCTAGAGCTATATCAACCCTAACATGATTATATTCATTTCTCATTTTGTTTAAGCCACTCATCCACCTAAGCATTCTCATCCAAGTGTTCAGGCACGGTATTCAAAATGAGTTATTTTTTTTTGACTTTTTCGCCTAAATTTAATTAGAAACTTTCATATGAAAAATCATGTTTAATATAGATTATAGATTTGATATATA